TTCAAAACTTTAACACGTGTCACATTTTATCCGCACGTAGCAACCTATATATATATATATATATATATTTGCATTTTATCATTTTAGTAAAACCAACGGTGAAGATGAGCATCGGCATCTCCCTCTGCAACTGCAGCTCCCCACCTTCACTCACTCCGACTCCAACATCTCCAAAGCCAACTCCAAAGCCTCAATTCCTCTGCTTCCCCGACGACTGGGCCAAGAAAACCCTACTCGGTGCACTAACCGGAGCTCTTTCTTTAACTCTCCTCACCTCCTCGCCTCCTTCCCTCGCACTAATTCCCCCTTCAGGACAAACGTTGCAGTTGCCTCCGCCTCCTTCGAATAATCCGCCGGAAGGTTGTAGTGAAGATGAAGAACGGCGGGAACTAGAGCAAGATAGAGCTGAGCTCAAGCCTGAATTCGTCACCAATGAAGGAATTGTGCAGGAAGCTTGGCAGATCGTCAATGATAGCTTTTTCGATTCCGGTCGGAGTCGATGGTCTCCTGAATCTTGGCAGGTTTATAATCTTCCGTATTCTGTATTCAGTTTATGTATTTGAATAAATATTTTTGTTTCCTTTAATGATTTGCTAATGTTTGCAGCAAAAGATGGAGTATATCTCTGGTACTTCGATTCAGACAAGGAACAAGGCTCACCATATAATTACAAAAATGTTGGCAAGTTTGGGTGATCGTTACACGCGCTTCATCTCTCCTGCAGATGTAATTGTTTCCTCTCCCATTTTATCCACTTGTATATGATGGAGTTGTATCATGTTTTGTTTAACTGTAAATTTGCTCAATGACTAATATTGCTTGGGAAATGGGAAAGATTGAATTTTGCTAGAATCTCTAAGCATGAATTAAGTAGACCTGTTGAATGACGGGGGAAGAAAAGCTTGTTTATTGATTATGTGAGGCATGTGGGAATTAAGTGATACATTCATTATTACTTTTTTTCTTCTTTTTTTTTTGGCTTATGGTTTTCATTTCTTACATAAACTACAAATATTGTTATTTAACTTCTTTAGTCTTTTTTTCAATTTAAAAGTTCTCCAAGATGGCGAGGTATGATATGACTGGTATTGGAATGGACATTAAGGAAGTTGCAGATGTCAGTGGAGCTGTAAAACTGAAGGTGCGAGGATTGATATTGGATGGTCCAGCACTGGCTGGTGGTGTAAGACAGGTAGGGTAAACTCAAAACTACATTTTCTTGATGCTTGACATGAGACTTATATTTATAAGTGAATCAGTGAATTTTAATGTGGCTTAAATGGTCTTCCCTTTTCTTTTCTTGGAAGGGGGATGAAGTTTTAGCTGTGAATGGAGAAGACGTGAGAGGGAAGTCAGCCTTTGAAGTATCTTCTTTGATACAAGGTCCCAATGAAACATTTGTGACCATCAAGGTTGCGATCTAGATTTTCCTCCCAAATAGAATATCCAGTTGTTAAGTGATATTTCTTTGCACTGAATAGTACAAAATGTCAATTTTAGGTCAGGCATGGCAATTGTGGACCTATTGAATCTCTACAAGTCCAGAGACAACTTGTTGCTCGTACCCCAGTTGTATATCATTTGGAACAAATAGACAATGGTACTACTTCTGTTGGATATGTGCGCCTAAAAGAATTCAATGCTTTGGCCAGAAAAGATTTGGTCACTGGTAAATCTTTATCTTTTTAAGCGAATGATCATTACTAACTGATGATAATGTTAATAGATATATTTATGAAATTCAACTTTATATTTTCCTTATGAAATCTTCTAGTCTCCAAATATCTTCATGTTGTTCATACAATAAAGAAATAACTCACACAACTAAAGGATATATTAGCCTCTTCAAATAGAGAATTCATATATTAGCCTCTTCAAGTAGAGAAATTCAATTTCTTTTGACATGCTTTGCAGGGAATACGTGTCTGGTGATATTCATTAAAACAATCAAAGAACATAAACAGTAGTTTTCTTTGTCTCCCATTATTTTCACAATGCTAGATAACTCAAGGTCTTCATTCCCCTACTTTCCATGTCTTTTTTGATTAGGTTGGTTTCTTTTTCTTTTCTGATGCTTTTAAAATTTTTCCCGCAAATAGTTGGTTTGGTTTCTTTCTCTTGTTGTGTGCTGTATGTGGTTTTACCTGGCTTGGTTTTAGTAGTTGATCATAAATTGGCCATTGCAGCAGTAAAGCGGCTTCAAGATATGGGTGCCTCATATTTCATTCTTGATCTTAGAGATAATCTCGGAGGGTTAGTACAGGTTCGTTTGTCTTCTTTTCTTTCTATGTCTAGCTTTTATCTCCTTTAGATTTGATGATACAGGCACTCCATTAGCAAGGAAGCTCCTGTTGTGCTGACTGTTTGTTTTCGTTGTTGATCTTCTTGTTGTCTTTTCTCTTGTATAGCTTCAAAATTGTGCATGTAAAACTCTCTTCTGAACGTTTATTGCTTGTCCAAATATGATCCTCAGAGACCACGTTTGAAGTACAGGAGGATTTTAAAAAATGACCGGCACTAGTATAGGTTCAAGTTGAATCCTGAGCGACAGACCTGAACTGGGAGCTGGTTAAGTTAGGATCAAGGATCTAGCAACAAAATTTTATGCCTTACCTCTTGCATATACTTTTTCTGGCCAACCTTTTCCATATACTTGAAAAAGCCAGTTTTGGCTAAAAGAAAGAGAAGAGGGGAAAAGGAGAATTTTTAGGCATCAAAATGAGCCAAGAACTCCTTTGCGCATAAGTTTCAATCAATATTAGACATGGGAATCGTAAGACAGTGGTTTAAGCAAGAAATTCAAAAAAGAACAGTTAGTTGGATTTTGAAGAGCATGATTTAGTGGATCTTTCATCCTTTACAATTCATTCTCAATTATGAGTTTTCATCATCAGATGAATGTGAATTACCAATAAGAAAAAATTTTTCACTCTTGCAGTTTGGAAGTATTTTTATGCTTTTATCTATACTTGTTTGCCCAAACATATTTATCTCCATAGGGGACAGAAGCTAAGTTTTTATGATATTTTAGAAGAAAATTATTAGTAATTTTTATCATTCTGATCATTTCAGGCTGGAATCGAAATTGCCAAGCTCTTTCTAAAAGAAGGGGAAACGGTATGTCATTTCAATACAGAATCAAGTTTTCAAGGGGAAATTCTTTCTTGTACTAAGACTGGAAAAACATGATTGTAGATATCAATAAATGGCATTATATTTATCTTTATTTACTTAGCTTTAACTCTACAGTTATTGTTGCTTAATGAATTAGAACTTCTTGACGCAATAATGTAGTGTTTGAATTCCAGAATTGATCATGTTGATTGTTCTTTTCCCTCACTGATGTACATCAACAGATCATTTATACTGTTGGAAGGGATCCCCAGTATCAGAAGGCTATAGTTGCTAATACCACACCATTGGTTTCATCTCCTGTAATTGTAAGTACTCTTTTTTTTCCTAACATCTGTGCATCTGTTTGTTCTGACAACTAAATCAACTGTGTCCATTTCACCATTGAATTCTGAAGCATTTTATTGAGCTTTGTTTCTCAAGAAAATTGCAATAAAAACATGAACTCAATCATACTGGTTTTTGCAACTCACATAGATATGGCAGTTGGTTTAATTTTTAATTTCTTGTTGGTATTTATGTTAGTTGGCGGCATCACGTGGGATGCTTTGGCTTGTCAGACATCTTTAGATGCCTGAGGAGTGTTATTGTATTCTCCTTGTTTCATATTAGACTGACCAAAATTTTCCCTTTTTCTAAGTGGACTTGGATGACAGAAGTTGATAAGAATTTTGTGTAAAGGAATTGTATAACAGAAACCTAAGCACCAGTTATTCACATTTGCCTTAAGATGGGCATTGGATTGCCAGTTGAGTGTAATCTATTAGATTTCTTTCTCTTAAGAATTGATGCCTGCAAGTGCACTTAATTTACCTACTCTTTTTTTCAACATATCATTTTAAGGGCCATAATTCCCCTTGACGCAGGTTTTAGTGAACAACAAAACTGCTAGTGCAAGTGAAATTGTAAGTAGCCTTTTTTTTTTTGGCCGACAATAAGTAGCTTCGTTGACCAAATGTCTATGATTGTTTTTATCTCTTGTAAATTGTGTTTTTATTTCAGGTTGCTTCCGCGCTTCATGATAATTGTAGAGCTGTTCTTGTTGGAGAAAGGACGTTTGGCAAGGTTTGAGTCTTCTCTCATCTTCTATGTGATAAACTTTGTCTATTGTTTCCTCATTTCTATTTACATGTTACTTCAGTGCATTCCCATTAAATTGCAGTTTCTTTTAAACCTTCTTTGATTGGTATCACTATCATCAATGATCATAGATGTCAAGTTGATTGTCTACCTGAGAAATATTCTTGCTAGAGTTGTATTTCTTTATTAAGTGGTTACCTAGTTAGCCTTTATATGAATCTGATGCAGTGATGCTACATTTTTCTCCCTTTGAACAGGGGCTAATTCAAACTGTCTTTGAACTTGATGATGGGTCTGGGGTTGCTGTCACTGTAGGAAAGTATGTAACACCAAATCACATGGACATAAATGGCAACGGAATTGAGCCTGATTACAGAAACATCCCAGGTAGTCATTTTCTTCAGTGTCTGAATGGGAGAAAGATCTATAACAAAAGAATTTTTT